GTAATGTAATAGCCTGTATCATTCTGGCATGAACCATAACGATGGGTTACGTATTGTAACCCTAGTTATATAAGCACAGGCGGAGCCCTCTACTGGATTCTATGGGTACTACCCCTTGACCTTACTATGCGAGCGTTCACCTACTGAAATATCTTTAAACGTAGCCGGCCCCTCGGGGCGGGCCTACCTGAGTGCGCTTAAGCCCACCCTATATAAGGCGGCCTCGCCTCCTGACTGTCATCCTACACCCTCTTCAGCGAGCAGCATAGGACAGACAGGGCCTCTAGTAGAGGGCTCCACCTGTGCTTATATAACTAGGGTTACAATACGTAACCCATCGTTATATGTCAGAGGCTCCGCCATCTACTGGACTCTATGGGTACAGTGGGTGGAGCCCTGATGGATACACGCCCTGTCGTCCAACAACCCATCACACTGCCCCTGACCGGCTTTTTGGTTAACAGCCTCTGCACCGCAACATCTCCTCCCTCGGATGTGACCGTGGAGGAGCCGGGGCCGCAGCTTACTTACCAGGCAGGGCTGGGTGACCGACGTGATCGCTCCAAAGAGCCCCTCCGTGGATACGGGGGCCCCAAGGAGATCCTGCGGTCAAGGCGCATGCATACGATGTGTTCTTGGGGAACAATTGTGTTGCCGTGGCCGATTAGCGTCCACGTATATGTGGGTGACGGAAACAAGCTTCATTTCTACGACGCCGGAACTGATATGGCCCTACAGACTGGGTCAGATAGGGAGTTGTATCATTACAGGACCGGACTACGTGGTGCGGACCGTTCGTATCAAGGTCACCACACGGATCTGTACAAGCGGACCCTTTTATGCACTTCTGGTGCACCTGGAGCTCCACCATCGGTGCTACTACTCCTTGTCCATATTCGCGACTCCTCCACGGTAAGGAATAGCGGTAGGGCCGCCCCGGCCAGCCAGAAGGCAAAGTAGCTCCTCTTCTGCTGTTTCCTAGAGAGCTACAGGCCCACGAAGGCCAAGGCCGGCGGGTCCTCCCCAGTGAGCGTGTATCAGGCAGTGCATTTCCTAAAGGTAGCCCCTACCTGGTAGCGTTCCGCCACGCACTTCCCGATTGCGAGTGTGGGTGGTGATGGCGGACTTCGCCCACTCGGGCGGAGGCAGTCCCCAAAATGCGGAACCGAAGAGGCCACGTCGGCCGAAGTCGTGCAACACAAGCGGGCTCGGCAACGGTCTATATACCGTCACACACCTCCATCTGCACCGCTTGTCGGTGAACTCGCTCCCGAGGCCACCGTCTAATAGCCGTCCATAGGACTCCCACCGTCCCGGCGAGCCATGTGCCACACAAGGACCGCACGGGGGGCAAGGTACTCTCGGACCCCTGGGTAGACGAAGGCGTCCGTCGACCTACCTTCCTCCCCTTTTTCGGAGAGGGGGCGACGGCGCACTTGGTCTCTTTACGACCGTTATTAAACCTGTGCTATATACGGCCCGAGTCATGTAGTCTCCCGCTCTCTGTCAGCCCGGTTATTAAGTAAGCCACACAACCCGGCAAGAGACTAAAGAGACGTGAGTCGGTCCATTAATCCGGCGGGGATCTCAGTCGGAGTCCTGCCCTTCTGCTAAGTAAGCCTGGCGACATAACCGTTACTTGTTAGACCAGATGCTCTACTTCAATAAACGTGCGTCGACGGCACACTACAGGACCGGTAACACCGCCAGTGCATGGTCTATCCGACCCTGAGTGGCGCGACTAGGACCTTCCTGGTCGTCCCGCGGAACCCCGGGGGCATAGGTGCCTCCCCGAGAAACCTCGCTAGTGCCAGCTCTATTAGTGTGTGTAAATAAACACCAAAGTTAG